CCCCAAAACCCCAAAACCCCAAAACCCCAAAACCCCAAATAAACAGCAAATTATTGAAAATAATTATGAATTGAACTTCCTCAACCTCCTATCTTTAGACTTCCAATCGTTAAAGATCTGTTTCAGTCTGTGCATATCTATTCTAGCAGTTGGGTCCTCTGTGTCGGCTTCAATTGCTTTGTCAACTCTGGAAATGGTGTCATTTCCGATTGGGAATAGTTCTATAAAATTAGTTAAAGACAATACCTGAGAGATGGTATTTCCTTTCTGCAAGTTTGTAGTTCATCTGGTCATAAATTTCGTAGTCTCGCTTCTGAGCAACCTCCTTCTCTTGTTCCTCCTTCATGATCATTTGGTTATATTTTTGTGCAGAGGCCTCAAGTGCTGATAAGAGAGGTTTTAGTTCTGGATTTTTAGGTTTAGTGATGTCTTCAGGGATTAAAGTAAATTCTTGGAGTTTTTGAAGCAAGATTGGATCAATTTCTTTCTCTGGTTCTTCTTTATCCTTCCCTATTTTGTACATTAAGTCTCTATATTGCTTCTTGAATGATCTAGAGTTTATTATTAATTTACTTGGCCCCAGAACTTGGAAGTGGGATTCCGAGATCATTTTTCATGATTTCAATTGCAGCTGAATCGGCCTGTGCAACTTGGTTCAAGGTGTATCTCATGTTGGTTAAGTAGTCAATAAACAGAACATCATACCCGGTATATTTCATTTTGAAGAACAAATATTGCCTTCTGAAGTCGCCATATTTAACTTTCTTCGATAAATTTACTTGTAGTGCTTTCATTCGTAGTAACTCTAAGTGCCTTAGAATCAAGAGAACCAATTGTCTGACATCATCGATGGCATTAAGCAGTGTATCGCTGATGAACAAGGCTCCGTTTGGGAGAAGAGTCATCTCCATTTCATCAGCCATGTAGACAACCACTTCAGTTTTGAGTCCTTTTATACTAAGTTTTTGAAGAATTTCTTTGTACACTTCTTCTACTAATTCGTTTTCTATTCTTTCTGAGTCAAGGATTTCTTTGATATGAGAGTATTTCTTAAAAGTAGCAACTTTCCTGGCTATTGACCTGATTTCAGGATCCGAAACTCTATTTAAGTTAAGCAAATTGAGGAGATTATCCCAGAAAATATAGCCAAGAACTCCTCAAGCAGTGAGGAGTAGGATTGGGAATATTTCGCCTTTCATCAATCGATTTAGCTTTCTATTGATTTCACTTTCATGCTTTTTCTTAATCATTTCTCCATCTTCGGGTTTGGCCTAAACATTGTTATTACTACAGAAGTACCTTATCTGTTGAAAAATGTCTTTCAGCGGTTCGTCCTAAGCCTTTGACTCGAACAGTGAGCTGTCTCCGATAAAATCCTCAGAACTGTCACCCTCGAGCTGGTATGAGAGCTTTTGCTAGAGGATATCTGGTCTGAAGGACTGAATGAACCCTCCTTAAATTAATCATTATATTTACGGCTTAAAATATTCATTATCATAGAAGTTTGCTGGGGTTTTGGGGTTTTGGGGTTTTGGGGTTTTGGGG